TACACAATGCAAACGACTGATACAAATGAAAGAAAACTACCTGATAAACTAAAGAAACACTAAACAAAGATCAAACTCAGCAACAATCCCTCTATAACTCCTCCCCTCCCTCCTCTCTGATCCCTCAGTTCAGCCTGATCAGGTGAGTGGTCACTGCTGGCATCCTGCAGCCACATGTGTGCACTCCATGGCCCTGCAGTGGATCTCAAAGAGCAAAAGAGCAGTTAACAAGGGTCTGTTCACACAAAACAAAATAATCAGTAAACTTGCTGTATCAGTTAACTGTCAATGTGCATGTGTGCTCCTCTGTCACCTTAGTGAGGGGGATGCTTCCCAGCTCCATCACAGCATAGTAATAAAAAACACAAGCTCTACTAATTCTATCTAAAGATGGAGTGCATCCCATCTGATATCAAGCAAGAGGCAGGATGCACTCAGAACAGGTCACCATGTCATCACAGTGCTAACACGCTCACACCTACAGCTCATTCACAACCACTGACTTCTTGGTGACAGCGTTAACCTCTGCATCACCAAACCGCCCACATTTCACCATCACATGTTGAAAACCAGGAACTACAACAAATCCCCCAGGATCACTGAATAACCCAAAACGCTACGATTCATGTGCAACAACATTATTGATAAAAAGAAAAAGAAAAAATCCGACATGAATGCCTTTTTAAAAAGCACATGAAGAATTAAAAGCACCTTCAGTTTGTATCATTCTGTTGGTCATGTCACCGGGGCTGCTGTGTTTTACACTGATTAATATTCACACTTTACCATGTTTTGTTTTATTATAATTTACTAAAAACATATTATGTATTTTGTTTGTTGGACTTTCAAGGTCAAAACAGTGACTAGTGCTTTAACAAGTATGTGCTCCTCCAGACAAAAGAAAGGGTAATAAACTACTGTTGTGCTGTGTGCTCACTCTTATTGTAAAGGAAGGAACTAACTGAAGTATCTTAAAATGATTTATATTGTTGAAATCACGAGGCTTTGTGCTTCCAAGTAACATGTGGTTGATAGCATTCAGAGTACACTGACAGAATTAGTTTTTTGTGTTCTATTAATTGGTTTAAGTCCTGTATTTTTCTTTTCTTACATGGAACAACAAAGAATCCAATTTCCTTTTATTGTACAGTTTACAGAACAATTTTTAACATATTTTTTAAAGGCACTGAAAAGCTTTGAGACTCACTGAGGAGCACAGAAACAGAAGGATTTACGATAAACAAATACTAAAAATTTGAATTATTACAATTATTTTAATTGATGTAAAGATGCACAAGTATGATCAGTCTCTGGCAGAATAATGTGGAATCCATTAAAACCTGTCAGACAGCACACTCCCTATGTTACACTGCATTATAGCAACAGTTAATATAATCCTGCGAGTTGTGCTTTGTGCAGGTTCGAGCAGTGAGGAGGCTCTCCACAGAGCAGAAACACTCCAGTCGGATTGAGGAATTTTCTTTTTCACAGTGTGTTTTGGGAGCGGCTGGTAGCCATAAATAAAAGTGTCCCGATACACACGTGGCCAAATAAAATAATCTTGAATCTACAAGATTAAAATACTTTATGTGATTACGCGGTGTAATATTAAAACAGTACTAATTATGGCCTGGCTCAATACATCTGAAGCATATGTTAGATTATAATTCATACACAATGTGAATCACTGCAAGTCGTCCGAGCTCTTCAACGCTTCCCCAGAGACAGTCTAAAAATCATAGTTGGCTTAAAACCTGCCTGAGTAGAAAAAACCTCATTATTAGCTGGCAGTGTGAGGACACTCTTGTTTGATCTCCCACCCGCTCAATAGATTTTTAAAACAGTTGATGGAGTGATTTTTTTTCCCTCCCATGCCATTAAAAGGAGGAGATGCTGGCACATAGATATGCGTGATTCATATCTGGGAGATGCTTCACACACGCACACACATACATGTACACACACTTCCTTAAACTTGGAAGCTCGGTGTTGTTTTGTGAGTGGCGGCAGCAACATCAAACGTATCTGTGAATTAATGGAAAATTCAACCCCCCTTCCCCAGAAGTTTAGTCAGACACCAAAGTTTTATCCAGCTGAAGAAGACTGATTTGAAATTAAAGAGGCAGAACTGAATGCGGAGGCGTGTTGAAGGGGATGGCTGTCAGACGAACATATGGCTAGTGACTGAGTGGCTAACCAGTGGCCATATGCAATCATCTAATCATGTTTATGGCCATCAAAAAGCTGCGGATGATGATTGGCTCATCTGTAAAGCTGTCTGGCATTTATATTTAAAGCGTACACCTGAGCATGTGCCTTTGTCTCTTAGCAATCTGCTGAGATTACTCCCTTGTGTCCTGTCTGATAACATTCAAAATCACTTCTGTCTTGCCTCTTCCTGCAGTTTTTGCAGCGCAGAGGAAACATGGGTGAGTTCTGAAGGCCTGTCTTTTGTAGCATCACATCGCTCTGTTTCATTCTGGAGTCGTACCGTGGTTTGGACTCGGAGGATCTCTTTCAGATGAGGATAAATGGTGTGCAAATTCAACTTGTCCACATCTGGGGCAGCCCGCTCAGAGGCCCTGAGAGAAGAGACAGATTGAAAAAAGAAAAGAAAGAAGATGACAGAAGATAATTCCAAACACATCTCTCTGACCAGAACAAGCACCTCCAGTACTGGAGATTTTTTTTTTCTTCTAAATGTTCTGGCAATTTTCATGTGGGACCAGCAGCTGGAGTTAATTTACTGTGTAAGATGAACTGAAAATTTGCCAGCTTATGACTTAAAAGGTCTCTTGATATCTTCTGCTGGGACTGCAGTGGAAGCAGAAAGGGGAACAGCACTGGGTAAAGAATGCAAACAGTTAGAGCTTTCTCATGTGGCATGTTTTCAGAGACCATGCAGATTACATAAGGTTCAGGTTTACTTCAAAGCTAAGTTGTTTGGTAAAAAAGCAGAGGATTAGCAAAAGGTAGCACTGACATCGTGAACTGTTCAATACTCTCAGAAATTCTGTTTGTATCGGACAATTCTGCATTGGACCACATACGTCTCCACACTGAAGCCAGTGTTAAGGGCAGATGTAGGGAGCAGGCTGCAAGTTGTCAGAATGCTTCTTCAGAATGGCTCCACACATTTAGAACAAAGACCTTCAGTGGACATAAACAAGCTGGTTCAATGAATGGAGGGTTAAGGTGACAGGTGGGTAAAAAAAAATCAAAAAAACATTTTTTTTAATTAATTCGTCAATTCATTAAACCCCTAAAAGGGCTGCAGGGTGGTGCAGTTGGTAGCACTGTTGCCTCGCAGCAAGAAGGTCACCGGTTCATGTCCCAGTCGGGGCACCTTAATCTTTCTGCGTGGAGTCTCCATGTTCTCCCCGTGCAGCGTGGGTTCTCTCCGGGTTCTCCGGCTTCCTCCCACAGTCCAGAAACATGTTGAGGTTAATTGGTGATTGTAAATTGCCCGTAGGTGTGAATGTGAGTGTGCTTGGTTGTCTGTCTCTAAGTGTAGCCCTGTGATAGACTGGTTACCTGTCCAGGTGAACCTGCCTTCACCCTGAGTCAGCTGGGATAGACTCCAGCCCCCCACGACCCTAGTGAGGATTAAGCGGTGTGTAGATAGTGGATGGATGGATAAAACCCCTAAAAACAAACAACATATTTGGAAGCTTTTTTCAATAAAATCGACTCCTTCCTCCCTAGAATGGCCTACATGTACCTCCATCCTGTTACTAGAATATGCAAATCAAGGTATTCCATGCCCCCCTCCACCCGTCCATCCCCTTGCTACAGCTCTAGCCCACCTTCTCACCTCCAACATGGTGAATAATCTCTGCAACACATTGGCTAGCTGTAATTTTGTATTTTAGTGATTCATGTTTGAGCTGGAAGCTGACAGGATGGCTCCTTCAGTTTGTTACATGTGAAACCTTGGAAGTCAAGTTTTCAGTACTGATCAAGATGGACGTGTTCAGCCATGAGCTTGGCTGCATGTTTCTCTCATGAGGTGTTCTTCAGCATATAAAACACCATAGCGACAGTGTTAACAAGGTAAGTTTAAAAACAACGTGATTTTCACCAAAGGGGGTCTTTAATCACAGTTTGACACCATCATGATCTTTCTCTGTCCTTGACTGCTTCAGATACTGACATTAAAAGCTAAACAACAGTCTTACATTGAACGTAATTTGTGGGAATCATCCAACATCAATATTCTAGAAACAGGAAGTTCCTGAAGGAAACAGGATCCTTTGAGGAACTCAGTTCCATTACCTAGCTTAGCACCCAAGGAGCCAGAATGTAAATTAAATTTCAGGGAGAGTTTCATTCCTTAAAAAAGCTCTGTGTAGTCCTCTGAGGCATTGTACTTTAGTACCAACTGTGGTAAACATACGTAGTAAGTACTCTGTAATCTCTAAAAGTACTCGACTACTTCCTAACATATTGCCATACACCTAAAAATAATATTTAAAAAAAACAGCAAACTGATTGTAGAATCTCTTGAGCTGCTCCAACCTGACTGGAAGCCTACAGATGAAACAACCCTTGTTGATGTTTTGTTCGTTTCTGCAGAAGTCAACCTTCAGAGGGAATCTGACATCTTTGCACTAATTTGTTCGTCTTGTTTTGGCCTCGATGTGCTGCAGACACTCAAGTAACAGTAAAGGAACGTTTCTTTGGGAACGTTGCTGAACATTAATTCTTGTTACATTAAGTTCCAGGAAGTGTTTATGAAAAAGCATCTTTTGGGTGGTGAGAAAGTTCTAACACCCGTTTCAGACATTATCAACACATTATTGTTGCACATCATCAGCCAGAAGTGTTTCACCTTCCAGGACGGCACAAAGCTGTCATCCACTCAGTCACTGATAAACAGGAGTAACCCTGATAACGTACGTGGAGTGAACGTGAAATCTCACTTCATTTAGTGACAGTGGAGCTGCTGCTTCACTGCTGCTTTCATTCACTGCCTTTAACGTTGTGTTCTCTCAAGTTCTCTGAGCAAAGAAAGAAGAACATCTTCCCAATGGCAGACAAAGGCCTCATTGTGTGTAAGTGTCGTTCAGTGGTGTTAGTCACCGTGGACACATACAAAACTGAGTTTTTAACCCAAACAAACATCTTTTTCTAAATCGAACCAAATAGTTTTGGGGCCGAAACATGACCAAACATCAACTCACAACACAACAAAACACCGTGCAAAAAGCAGTGAATGAAGCAGCAGCTCCACTGTCATTAAATGAGGTGATAACGGAGCTCCATTAACGGGCAGATAAGAGCCTCCGGAGCTACGACAGGGTGGAGGAGGTCCTCCTGGCCCTTATCTATGGAAATGATATGCACTGATAACGCTTACTGAGCAGCATGATAACATCAAAACCAGGTGCACTACGATGTAATCTACAGTAAAATACCAGATGATAAACATTTTATAAATTTAGGTTTTAATTAGGTAAAATCTAAATTAACTAAAATAATGTCGCTGGTACTGTAGAGGCAGAGTCTGGCATCGAGGGGAATTCTGTGAATCACTGCTGGTTTGAATCATTTTGTCCAGTTCAGTCATGTTTTGTAATGATTTCATCACTACTGATGTTCATACTGACGTTGTGTTGCAGAGGTACGACTGGCACCAGTTTTATTGGGGCTTAACTTCAACATACTGTTCATGTTTTATGCCTTCCTGTCAAGAATTCCCTCAGATTCAGTGTCAAAACCAGATTCTAAACTACAGCTCTGTTCAGAATGTCTAAATAACCTCTGTCACGTTAATAAATGTCAATAAGAAATACACATTAAACATGGCCTGTACAGTTTCACAGTTTCAAGATTCCCTACAACCATCGTTTTAATTGAACTGACCCACAGCGAAGGGTCAATGACCCGTCTCAGTGGATACGGGTCAGACATGACCTGAAACAACCTCAGGGTCCAAACATTTGTAGACCCTGTACAAAAGTATGCAATCTTAAAACATTTTCATTTCTGTGTATTTTGGATCACTTTAGAAAAAGTCATCAAATTTCAGGCTAAAAGAACGTTTAAGGTAGTTCTACTGCTGTCCAACATCAAAACAGGTCAAATTTGAGCCGATGCCGTATGTGAGGGTTCAGGTTTGGGTTTTTTTAGTTAGGGTGAGTTATTTTTTGGCCTTTTGTGCCTTTATTTGAAAGTGTAGTGAAGAGGGAGACAGGAAAGTGGGGAGAAGAATGAGGGAAGGACCTGCTACAAACTGTCATGAGCCGGATTCGAACCACTGCGTCGGGGACTTTAGCCCATGTACATGAGACGCCACCTCAACCAGGTGAGCTATCACGATACACGCCGCCCCAGGGTTCAGGTTTGTTTGTCCAGGCCATGAACTCCTACAGTCGGGTGCACTGCTTATCTTGTCAGGAGCAAAACAGACTCAACAGTGACGGCAGGAGGTCTTTTGCAATCTGTTGTTAACATGTGAGTGACACATGAACACCTCTGACCTTGTCTTTATGTTCCACGTGTGAATAACTGCTCACACTGTTATTTCAAACTGACCTGTCATCGTGACGATTCGCATCTTCCTTTCCACTGAGCGGGCTCATGAAATGACCCAAGAAGTGTTTCCACCTCACCGGTCCTGTTGCTCGCACACCGTAGCTGCATGCACACACACAATCCAGACCACACGCATGAAAAATACATGACACACAAGAGAGGATTGTGAATTTTTTAAGATTTAAAGAGCAAAGGGCAGGGAGGTTGAGGCAGAATAGGTAGGTAAAATGAGGGAAGATAAAATAAATAAATAAATAAAATACTGCTTTTCCTACCGGCCGGTCAGTTTCTGAAAGGAGAGAGGGTTCATGGGAAATATAAAGCTGCTCAGAACAGCCCTGAGGACATCCTGTTTCACCAGGCCGGAGCGGGTGGTGTCGAAGGCCTGCAGCGCTCGCCACACTGGGGAGGAGTTCAGACACATCTGATGGGAGGAACAACACACACACACACACACACACACACACACACACACGGACATACGTTCATATTTTAGAGACAAACCTCCTCTTTCTTTATCTTTCCTTTCCTCAATAAGGACAGGAAGTGAGTCATCTATGGGTTTTGGTTGCCATGGAGAACATCCCAGTGCAGCTCTAGGATGCAAGAACAGAGTCAGCCCCGACTCTGCTGCCTTTCCTGCAAATTAGCTGTGATTAACACACTAACTCAGGAGCTGATTTTTCTGGGCAAACATTTTAATTAGGAGTGTTCCCTCTGCTGTTTGCATCCTGACGCGCCACTTAGAGCCAATTTACCCCTCCGTCTTTAAAGAGGATAATGCAGGGGAGAGGGCCAGATGGTGACACGCAAACAGGAGGAATTAAACACACAAAGTCATTCAGACAAGTCCGCACCTTGTTGTAGAAGACAGTCTGCAGCTTCCTGTGCGGCAAGACTGATGGAGCATCGCACAAGCTGGTCTGAGATTCTGCTCTCGGCGTTCTCTGTTTCTCACACTGAGCTGCTCCTCGGCTGGACACGTCTAGAAAACACAACACGCAGGATAACTCTTCATTCTAGTGTTTATTTTCAAACCGAAACAACCAAGAAATATGAAGCTGCTTGGACAGTAGGCTGTTGTTTTATAACTGATTTCTAATCATGTAAGTTTTCAGCCAGCCAGCATGATTGTCTGTCAGTTGGTCGACCACTCGCCAAAATATCCTGACAAATGTTAGTTGGAATACATCTTTGTACAGATGTTCATGGTCCCTAGATGACTAATCCTGTGTGGACAGTCTTGGTTTTGAATGAAATATCTCAAAAACTGTTGGACAAGCTGCCATTACATTTGGCACAGATGTTCAAGAGGCTCGGTGGACAAATCCTGAGTTCTTTGGTGATCCCTTAAGTTTTCAGCACCACCAGCAGGTTAGACTTTTCACACATGTATTGAAATGATTGCATTCCAATTAGTTGGTGATTACTATCGACAAATCAAAATTTCTGCCAGATTTGTTTGTTATCAGCCCAATAAATGGCCGGATGGGATTGATATGCACTGATTAAAACAAGCAGCTTCGTGCAGAATTAACCAGCTTTACCATTAAAGCTAGAGTATGCAGTGTATTTCAGGAGCATTTTGATCGAACACGTGTTGAACGTATCTTTACATTTCTACAGCAATGAATAAATCAGGTTCTCTGAGCAAAAAAAAATAATCTTCTCTTTGGCGGTCACAGGCCCATTGTGTGCAAGTGTTGTTCGATGGTATTCATCTGATGGAAGTGTGATTTGCTCTGAACTGGATGTGATGACGTAGCTTCCTCTTCCCACCAGGTTAGTCCAGCAGCTGTACTCAGCCAGTACGGGTCCACGTGTCCCGATCTTTCTGTTGTTCCACCTGACTGTTGCTGCTTTCTGCGATCTTGCATACTCTAGCTTTAACGTCTGCTAGTTTGTGCTTAGTGCTAATTAGAAAAGGCTAGCACACTATTGTACCTGCCCTTTAAATAAGAATCGTGAGCAGACAGTTAGCTTAGCATACCACAACGACTGGAAACAGCTGCCCTGGCTCTTCTGCATTGATCTGTACAAAGTCTACGGTGTAGAAATGTTTGGAAGCATTGGTTTTCTCATCTAGATCTGCACTAAGCAAATAAAGGATTTCCCCCCACCGTCAAATGATTTCTTTGAAGAGGACCAAGTTGTTCTTGTGTTTCAAATTTACCCACAACCCCAAAATAGCCAACCATAATGCAGCTGTAGTCATCTACCTCGTGGTGCCAGTGTAGCTGAAAGAGCAGCTTGTGTGGCTGCAGACTCTTAACAAGTGTGTTTTTGTACCGGGTTGGTGCTTCCTGCTGCTCCCTGTGTGTTCATACCGAGCTTAGTGCAGACTGGAGCAATCTTGAAGCTGTCGCCAAAGCCCAGCTTGTCCAGGAACACTTCGTAGTTAATGATGGTCACGTTATTGGGACTGTAGTGGTTCCACAATCTTTAAAAAAAAAACAGAGAGAGATCTGTTTATGTTTAAATAAATAGCACAGTGACCTATAACATCAATAAATCTGTGTCAATGATGAGATAAGAAAAGAGGTCACGCTTTCTGCTTGGCTTTGTCTGTTCTCGCTCACTAACACAGTGAGTCTGTGTGAGAGCGAGAGAGAGAGTCCTGAGCGCTAAAACCAATTAAAGCCATTGAAAATGAACCTGTCACACACAATCCTCTAGAGCCGCGTCAAAAAAGTTGAGCTGCGTTTCTGGAGTGGATTTGACTGCAGGGCCCGAAGTTTTAAAAGTCAATTAGCTCTCTCTCATCCAGGGACAAAGGCTGACCACAAAGTTAGTGTTAGTGATCTCGTCCTAGCTGACAGACGTCTTCCCACCGCAGGGAATACTGGAAATAGTTGGGCCGCTGCTGGTTGGTTGATAATGTGTGTGTAACACATTACTGTATTCAGACATGTTGTAAAAATGACTGGACTAAATGCATGTACACTTTAAATGTGTGTGTTTAGACGTTCAGCTGAGGAGCTCACATGTTGAGGGTTTGCACAGTGAAGCTATTCTCATCAATAGACACATTAACAAAAGGCAGAGCCAAAACAAAGCCTTAAAACGTTTTGTTACTGACGTTTCAGCACACAGCACACTGATAGGGAACTTTAATACGGGTTACTTTAAGTGCAGTCACAGTTAAGTCGCAAATTATTCATAGCCATGCAAAAATTAGACTTTTGGTGAATTTTTATTTGACAGTAGTTTTCTTTAGGCCTGAAATGACAAAAACTCGTGATAAAAGAAAGACATGAAGTTACAGATGTTACTGATACATTTGGATTTTTATAATTCATATTATATTTTTTAGTATAATATTAGCATCAATCTGTTGCAAATTTCTGAGCAAATGCAAGCTTCTATTCCAAATGGTAAATTCTACCATTTTATACAGCATTCTGATGAATTAAGAACAGCTTGCAGTTTCTAAGTCAATAACTAGACAGTGGTAAGAGTTTAGTCAAAACCTCCAGTTCTGCGTTATGTCTGCTCACAGGACAGGGAAAGGCTGCATAGCAATATCAGAGTGTTTTTAAGAGCCGGTAGCTACACTGAAAAATCTAAATGGGCACTGGCAAGAATGGTGGTATCAGAGGCCAGGACAGGGGTGTCCAATCCTGGTCCTCGAGGGCCACAGTCCTGCGTGTTTTAGATGTTTCCTTCTTCCAACACACCTGATTCAAATGATCAGCTCATCATCAAGCTCTGCAGAAGTTTGATAATGATCCTGATCATTTGAATCAGGTGTGTTGGAAGAAGGAAACATCTAAAACATGCTGTGGCCCTCCAGGACCAGGATTGGACACCCCTGGGCCAGGAGGAACCCAAAGATCACCACCAGCACTATCCTGATGAATCTGAGCATTTCTGACAACATCCCCAGACAGACACTCAGACAGCAGACATCACACTGGCTGGTCTTTGTGGACATCAACCGTGGACGACGCCACTCCTCCAAGTCAGACACACCTCACCTAGCTCACCTCGCCTTTTCAAATGCTCACCGAGACACAGAGGAAAGTTAAAATGGAATTGTTAGTTTGGCGAAATAAAAGGAGGAACAGTCAACTCCAAGAACACCATCCCCATTGTCAAGCATGGTGGTGGAGGTGTCATACTTTGGGATGTTCTTCAGCTGATGGGACAGATACTCTTGTCAAAGTAAACGGCATCGTGAGAAAAGAGGAAGACATTAAGATTCTGGAGGAAAACGTCAGTCAGTCTGCAGAGAAACTCGTTGTTGGGCAGCATTGGGTCTTCCAACAAGACAATGATCTGAAACATACCAGGAGGGGATGGGAGAGGCCGATAGGATGCAGCTCGACTAGCGTAGCGACTGGTATCACCAGCGCTTGGAGTGGCAGGCATGCTGCTCATGTGAACACCTGGGGACGGAGCTTGGGTCGGGACTTGTTGGGGATATCCTGGGCCAGCTGGCTGGTTGGGTCTTAAAGGAAAGACAAGTGGCTTGTGATAGTTGGGCAGCGCCCAGAGTTTCAGGTCACCATTAACAGGTTTCTGTACCTTGGGAGAACTCGGTGTGTTGGGTTGGCGTTGCGGAGTCGAGACCGTATTCTGCCATTTTGCAAATAAGGGGCTGTTGTTGCGTCTCCATACAGGTGCGGTTGGCTGCTAGTTTGAAGCCTGTGCGTTGCTCTGATCAGCGGCTGGAGGCGTCAAAACGTCACCCATCAGGTTATTTGAATCGTCTGTGACTCGATACGCTTTTTTAGATGGCAAACCAACGCTGCCACTGAGCAGCAAAAAAATCCAGGAAACCCACAAAACAAGTCCAACAGCCATGGCTGTTAGCTGAGAAGCAGCACCCCACACTTCTCAGTTCTTGAGACAGATCAGATGTGGACTTCAGTGTAACCTCGACAAATGGTTAACAGAAAACAACTTCAGCATATTAGAGCAGCCCAGCCAGAGTCCAGGACGGAATCTCATTCAGAATCTGCAGAAAAAACTTAAGAGCAGAGTGATGGCGAGGAGGTCTTCAGCCTGGAAGACCTGGAGACGGTCACAAAGAGGAGTGGCACAAAATCCCAGAGGAGACATCCAGGAATAGCGTTAGCATTTATAAGAACAAGAGATAAGATAGGATTTTTATTGTTTAGAGAGAATTCTGGACACAGTACATTTAGTTTAAAAACATTCAAAAACATAGAACTGTTGAAAATGTGCCATCATCATCTCTAACACAGGGACTCACTGGTAGTTGCTGATGTCATGTCCAGCATGAAGGAACCTTTTAATCAAGTAAAACTTCACTGCATTTTCATTCTGCAGAAAACGTGATGCAGATCTTAGTCTGCATTCTTTTTATTTTATTTGTGTTGTTATTATATGAACTGTAAATCAGTGGCAGTCAAACTGTCACTTAAGTCGCATTTGCAGCTCCATATACACGTGTGATTATCTTCCACCATACATAGACCCATAAATGCACCTGACATCATTCACAAAGCAATGCTGAGCATGGACTATGATTCACCTTTAAAGGCCCACTGAAATCTGAGTGGGTGTTAGCTCAGAACAACCTGACTAGAGCAGTCCTAACATAAGCGGGACATGTAACTTAGAGGGATAGTTTGACTTTTTGGGAATGTTCACTTTCTCACCAAGAGTTGTAGAAGATGAAAATCTCAATATGTGAAGCTACAGCTTAAAATATTTAGAAGAATCAGGAGGAAACTAAGTAGTATCCTCCAGGGCTGAGAGATTAAGCCAACTCACAAGTTCTAAAAACTGCAGTGTAGTTCCTCCGATGCCCACTTGAGCTGCTCCAGCAGTGAGTCAGTCCCCACAGACCTCCATGTTTAAATGTCCAACGGTACAGCAGAAGTAAACATGTTTACACCCCGATGCAACAAACTGCTTTTGTTTTCTGTCTCTAAATAACTTGTTTGTGACAATTGTACAGGAATGGATTTTTATAGAACTCACACATTCAAAGTGCATTAAGGGTTGTCACATTCTTGTTCATTTTTGGACTAATTGACAGTTAGGAAGAGTCTGGCACTGCCAAGATGGAGACAGTCAAAGCCTCCATACTGAGCTTCAAGACCACTGTTAGGAAACCTGTGGGTGACAGCACTGGGTGTGTCCATCTATACATATAGTCTGGTGCTGTCCCAAGTTGATCAAATCCACCTATAAGCACCTTTAAAGGTCACTAATGTTGTACAGTTTCCTGTTTAATCAGCACAAACGCCAGGCCCAAAAAAACAATGTTTTATAAAGGGTTATGTGTCAGACTACTGCCTTGCTCAGTAACGTCTTGGTGTTTGCTGGTATTGTTTAATGTTTCATTTTGTGTATTACGATGTGCTGAATATTTCAACGTAACACTATGATTTTTCCTCAGAGTGACTTTTGTTACGTAAAGCAGGTGTAACATCTATTTTTTCATCACATAAGAGTCGATGTGAAAACAGAGAGAGGACGCTCACAGTAATGAACCTACAGAGAAGAGTCAGCTGAACCTGCAGCTTTCATCTGCCTACAGAACTTTTCAGTAAGTTTCAGTTCACCATTTATCCATTCAACCACAATTTTAGTGCTCTGACTCATTCTCAGTGCTCTCAGCGTTGTTTCAGGCCACTGCAGGAAGCTGCTTCCAGACAAAAGCATCCAAAAAGCCACTGCACACTGTACACGGACTGAACACTGGACTTATTCACCAGGTTCACACAAACACAACAGAGAATGACTGATGGTGTTTCTATGTAAATGCTGGATGTGTTTATAGGCAAGTTATACACAGTATCTGTGTTATGTTCACTATTTGTTTCTGCTGCCCCAGAATGCTCCAAAAATCAGCTCTTGCAGGTTTAAAGTTGTTTGGAGCTAAACCTTTATAAATAATTAATCAGTTTGGGACTTCAAAGGAGTTGGCCTTCATAAGAAGATTTATTATTGGATCCAGTTGTGAGAAAATGGTATGGAACCCCCAGTCTGCTCGTGACTGGGGAACCGCATGTGCACAGCTGAGGTAAGTATACTCGGTTAGGTAAGGTCGAGGCAGGAAGCTGATCTGTGAGCTCTGACGAATGTTTAAGACAACAGTTTTCTCTTTTAAATCATTTGGACTCACCAACATTAACCAGTCTGTCTGATCATCTGACTGCTGCTGTTTCTGTGTGTGTCCGACATCTTTTAGTTGTATTCATGTTTTTCCACAGTTCAGCAATTAACTTGGTAAGTATAGTGCAATATTTATTTCCAAAAATAATCCCCCAAACAATCTAAGTTGTCATAAACCAGACTGATCATCTAAGCTTCATTAGAGCTGCCTAACGGATACCTCCAGCACCTAATGTTTGTTCTTGGCTCTTGGAACAGAAACTGAACTTGAAATACCAATATGTTGGCAGGATTCCCACCTCACCAACCACACAACTAATCTTTCTGTGTGCTTTCTGTGGGCCCTTGCTGCTACAGATTTGATGTGTGATCGGCTGTGACAAACAGCATCAGATGTATGAAGCTAAACCCCACCTGTGAAACTCCTTGTCTGTCAGGCGGGTGCAGTAGTTGTCCAGGATGCGGCGGAACTCTTGCTGCTGGATGTGTCCTCCTCGGTTGTAGTCAAACAGGCGGAACAGTCTGATCACAGTCCTCAGGTTGCCTCCGATCTGCGGGGTTCACACGTGGTGATTGACAGCAAACAGCAACACTACACCTCAGCGGCGCCCGTGAACTCCTGAACCCAGCCGACTTGTGAGGCTCAGCTCGCCGGAGCTTTCATCTTCTGTGAACACGGTTATTGACACGCCTGCCTTGATCTGTGGAAGCCTGGGCCTGTTCCCCAAAGTGCTGACAGCTGATGAGGTAGGAGAGAGCAAAGTGGAGATGCAAAGATCTCTGGTAGACAGATGAAATAGAGAGAAGAGACGGAGGAGGGAGGGCACTGAAGAGGATTATAGGTCAGTGAAGTACTAACAGAGAGCTTTATGGTTCTGAGCAGCAGCTTGGAAAAGATGTGCTCATGTGCTTCATGACTAAAAAGCAGAACATACAGGATGATGAAGTGACAGGAACAAGAACTCTTTGAAATTACCTGCATTTATCTATGATCCCAGTCAAACTATTTTAACTAGCAGCACACAAATCGTTGCATTGTTCTTGTCCATGTCGGCTGGGAAACGTATGAGAATTCATAGGATAATAATATCAAAGAAAGCTGACTGAAGTGAAGAGTTATAGCAAGCTTCAGTGCAATTGACACGAGACATGGGAGAAGGGGGTCAACGCCACTGAAGTCACTAAAGTGCAAAAAAAACCAAAGGTCTTAGAAGACATAACCATGTGCATGAAGCTGGAAAAGTTCATACCAGATGTTCTAAGAATACTGCTGAGGAAGAGTAGTTCAGTAAAGAAGCACTTCAAAAACAGCTTCTCCATGAAAACAATCCCTTCATACCCTAAAATGGTTTAGACGTCACACTACACGTTCCTCGTCTTTACTCTGTTTAGATACACAACACTGTGAAGCTACTCTGTGCTACACCATAGCCATGTTTACATAACGTATTTCTTTCACATTAAAATAGTTCATTGAAATGGTAGGATTTGAAAAAAAAAAACCTTCATTCATGGGAAATGAAAAGAGCCTTTTATTGGAGTAATTCAGCCAAATGTGTCTGAACCAGAAAACCAGCTGTAAAGAAGAACACACACCCTGCAAGGTGACAGGATTGGTTCCTCAGATTTATGATGTATGAAACCCTGGAAGTCTGAATCTGTGTTTTTTGGATCGTCGGTGATACTCTTCAAACTGTAAATACATAATAATGTATGGAGTTGTCTGCTTACTTCACTTCTTCTAGTCTTTAAAATCACAAGTATTTAATCACTACATTTAAAATCACCATGCTGACACATTAACAAGCTAAAAATAAACCTGATTTTCATGTGTGGAGGTGTGTCTGCACACTGTGTTTGTCTACAGTTGTGACTTTGATGAAGATAAAATCACATTTTCAGACAGACTGATGCAGAAAACCATGACCTGGTCATTCTTCAGGGCTGACAGACTTCTTGCTGTCGTAACTCTTCAGCACCAGACGGAAGTCACCAACTAACTTAGGGTTGTTTCTATGGACACATTTTTGCACTATTTATGTGCTGTTGAAAGTAGATTACATAAGTATGTCACGATCAAATTCACATGACAGCTTGACAGCTAATTAACTGCTGTGCTATAAAAACAAGCTCATTGGCTGAAGGAATACCAGCAAACAGTTAAATTAAACCATCAAATTCCATTAAGATGACTAGAAATGGAAGCAACCACCAGGATGGTCGCTCACTGAGGTGTCAAGGCTTTTCTCACTCACTTATTGCTATTTTGCTTTAAATGATCTTGTGCATGTTGGATTGCCTCTGTGTATGAAATGTGCTGCAGAAATAAGCTTGCTTTGCCTCACAGCCTTTTTAAGAAGCAGAATTTACATAAATGAAATACTTGTGTACTGTCCAAAAACATGGCACACACCTCTGTTACACTGTGCTATTCTTTTTTATCATTATTAGGAGCACTTTCCCGTTTGCTGTTTTAATATTGGTGCGACACATCATGATATTTTATTGCTTGCTGTTCTAATAATTAATGTGCTGAAGGCAGCAGGAGAAATATCCCGTCTCCCAAAAACACGACAGTCCCATACAACTCAGTGCAATTATGTTTTGAGGAAAGTGTTTTGTCGTCTTCCTTTTTTTTTTCTTTGCCATTTAAACATTTTACAGTTGCTTCTTGTCAGTCAGCCCATATAGTAGATGGGGCAGAACTCGTCGCCCTGGCAACCCAAAAATGGAGAATGTTGTGAAAGAGTCGTATTTGGACCTAAACCATGATGTTTCCTGAAGCCAGCCACATAGTGTTGGTGCCTTAGCCTCACCAAACTGCAAGACAAAGTGAAAATTAAACGCAAGAATAATAAGAACAAACCCTGATTGTCCTGGATGAAAGTCCTGGTGCTGACTTATGGCTCCGTCCTCATATCTACCTCCTCATGTGGACTTTGCAGCTCTATTAAACTGGAATCCTTTCCTACAAGCTCACACTCATCCCTGTCAGTAAGTAAATGCATCTCTCAAAAGTGAATTAAGGTTCCTTTAAAATATGCATGAGAATGCAGTTTATATGTACCAGGCTGTTATCTTGAGTTGAGGAGATGGGGTTGGACTAGACAGCCAGGTCCAAGCTTCTGGGGGCGTGCCAAGGATCAACGGCAAATTAAGCAGAGGTACTCATAATGTTTTGGCTCATCGATGCAGCTGCGGTTTGTAATGAATTGTCATTCATTACATCCCCAACACCGAAAAGAAGACCCAGTGGCTGAACCAGCAGACGAGTGTACGTCAGTGAGTAGCAACACGCACAAGAGGTTTGATGTGTGTGCGATTTGGAAGCTCCTCACACTCTGGGAAGCCGGATGATGAGGGTTTGGATCAGGCTGACATTGTTAGAGCTCAGTTGCAGTCAGTCAGCAAGTCTGAGCGAGCGGCCCAGCCAAGTCCAGCCAGTCCCGTCTTCCAAAGTGTGCGCCATGCACCAGCTCACTGCGTAGCTCCGGGGCGCCACACGAACCACGCAGGAACAGGAGCAGAGATACTAAATATACCCCCAGTGACTCTTGGGTAATCAGAGTCTTCTGTCGCCCAGAGAAGCCTCTGTCTAATTGCACTCTGATTAGACGAGCTGCCAAGTCTCTCAGTGAAAGACGTGGAGGGAGCCTCCCTCATGTGCTACACTGACATTGTCTCTACGCCGAGGCACAAAATAGAGCAGTTGGACTAAAGTCAGGCAAAAATATAGATGCTGACCTCTGAAAATTCTCTGCTTCACCATTTATTTAAGCGCAGTGGATGAGGTTATGTTTCTACAGCTCCAGATTCCTTTTGTTATCCTTTTAAATCACAGAGGACGAGAGAGCCTTTTTTTCTCTGTGCAGCAGTAAAACTTTTAAAATCTCCACTTTTTGTAATCTAACAACTTCAGCAACCGTGCGAGCTTCCTTACAAGCATAACAATTAGCCCCGCATTTACACCACCTTTCATTCTGCCAGAGTCAGGGGAAAGGGAAGAGGCGCTCCACAGCAGACTGTGCGTTTAAAAAAAGATCAAATGAAAGTGAATTTATTAAAGACAGATATAAATATGATTCTATCCCCTCGATCTCCTCCATCCCTCCCTCCCTCTCCAACTTAGAGGATTCTGTGCTAATTAGAAATGTGTTAAAATCACAAAGGAGGGAGAGAGGAGATCATACGGTATTAATGAACAGAGACAGAGGGATATCATCCAATCTCCGTCTCTATCTCCATCTCATCTCTCCCTCTGCACACACACTCCCCCTCTCTTTTTATCTGCCTTTGTTTCCACCTCTCCTCGATTCCCTTGCAAACTTTGTTTCCCTTTCTTTCTTCCCCTTTTGTCTTTCAGCCCATGCCTCCCCCTGCCTTTTTTTCAGCTACAAATTCCTCGATTATTTAATTTTTATCTCCATTTTTTTTCCCCCTCTCCTTCTCTCTTTTCCCCCCTCTCTCTGCTCCCCTGTCCTTCAGTGGTGCCAGCGCTCCATTAGGCAGCTGTGTTCTGGTTGGCGTGGTTGGAGGCCTGGCGCTGTGCCGTGCTCAGAGTGTCTCAGCAGCCCTCGCCCATCCGTCTGCCCGCCCAGCCCCATGGTCCTTAATTAATGAAAGCTCTGTTGTTTTTGTTTACCGGCCTGTTATATGCTAATCCGGCGAGCCCTGAGCGTGCGTGCCTGTCCTTCCGCCATGTCTGTGTTACCCTCTCAGCTGATTAGTATGAGCTCGACAGCCTTGACCCACAGGTCTGATAGCCGTTTGATCGCTGCGTAATGTTCCTCCTCTGAAATCGCTCCTGCACCTCTAAAGGGTCAGTTCACTCAAATGACTAAAGGACATGTTTCCTTCTCACCCCCAGAGGCATTTGAGTCTTCCAGGTATCCAAGTGTCTGCGTCTGTGCCAGTAAACTGGAAATAATTGTTTTGTTTGTTTGTTGTTGCTTGTTTTTTTTAATGCTACATGTCCCACAAACACATTTTCACAAACCTCTTTAGCATGTTGAGGCATTCAAACAACACTAAAGGTCTCCTCTCCTGGATGACTTCAATGATGAGCAACTATGCAAAGAAGGAAAATCAAGGACTGCATATATACAAGACACATAAAGTTAACCTACTTAGTTTTTCATCACTGTTAGTGCTGTGGTGCAAGATGATCCCTACAGAAGGACACAGTGCTGCTGCTGCTGGTTTCTGTCAGTCCTCAGCTGGTGGTAGTGATGAGAAACTGGGTACCGCAAAACTGCATAGATCCAAAGTATGTGCACTTTGCCACAAAACATCTGATCACCGCTGATAATCGTGATTGTGATGCACACTGGCGATGAAAGCCAAAGAGACGTGACACGATTTTCAGCAGCAAATTCAGCGAACAGGTGGCTGTTAACAAACCATTTCAAACTAACAAGTGGGCATACAAAAGTGAAAACAACTGAAAATAAGTTTGTGCTAATAAAAGAAAAACAAACTCAAGTTTCAATTCAAGAACATTCTAAAATGAACATTTACAGCTGGGAAAACAACTTCCAGAGAAAACAGAAAC